CACCAATATATGTCTCATTTCTTGCTGCATAAAGGGCCTGACACCAACATGTGGCCGCCTTGAAGGAGAAGAATGAGTTTCAACATATTGTTTTCTGGAGATACATAAGAAATTGAGGATATTGTGAGTAGTGATGACAATACAATATAATATATAAATACAAAGTATAAGCATCACTTTATTTTTTACTCTTAATATATATTCTATAGTACTCTTTCCTTTTCTATATTCTGAATATTTTACTATTTTTTTTTATTAGCTCTTTATTTTATTTTGTTTCTACTCTTCATTTATTTCTTTTAAAATTTATTTTTAAATGTTAATTTTACCTCTGGTGTTTCCTCATCGCAGATTTTTAATAGTTAGGATGGCGTTTACTATTTTTAATGAGTTCCAATGCTTAATGCTTTTTTGCTTTGTGTTACATCGCTATGTATGAAAAGTGCTATACAAATAATACAAAGTTTGCCTGATTGATTGATTTATTCATTCATATGAGTTAACCATGAGAAATAAATAACCTCAAGTTTTTTTTGTGTTGAAAAAAATGTCATTTTTACTATTAGGTGGTTTCTGCATTCAAATCATCCCCATTGGATTGGACAGAAAAAAATAACACATAATAAAATATTCATTTTCTTCTCCAATGTTCTATGAGTGCATTTAGGTTAGAAATCCACTAATACATTTTATTTTATTATTATTTTTTTTTTTTTTAGATTTTTTTTTGGGGCATTTTTGCCTTTATAGAGAGGACAGTTGAGTGTGAAGGGGGGAGAGAGAGGGGTAATGACATGCAGCAAAGGGCCACAGGTTGGACTCGAAGAGGGGCCGCTGTGGCCTTGTACATGGGGCGCCTGCTCTATCCACTAAGTCACTGATGCCCCAATTTATTCTATTTTATTTATTTTTTTCTGGTGTTTGGAAAATAATAATATAATTTAATTTCACAATTTCTAATCTAATCTAATCTAATCTAATTTAATGTAATTTAATTTAATTAAATCTAATCTAATTCAATTCAATTTAATTTAATTTAAGATAATATAATTTTTTTTTTTTTTAAGGTGCAAGTGTGTAAGCTTCTGACCTTATTGCTGTCACATTTTTTACCTGAAATTAGCACTGACATTGCATTAAATGTAATGGAATGATATTCTATGATATGCCAATGTCTGTCCTTATTGTCATGTAAATCATGGGTGCACCTGTAGCGCAGGTGGTACAGCAGATTGGTCATTAATATTAGGTTTCTGGCTCCTTCTGTTCATTTGTCAGAGTGTCCTGAAGCAGACCTTGACAATGAATTCCAAATAGCTTGTGATGTGTGTGAATGGGAAAAGAAAATGTCTCTTCCAAATGAATGTAATGCAAACCACTGCTTTACTCAACCACCACAGCAGTTTACTAGAGGCCACCAGAGGTCTCTGCTCTCACTTTTCACAGAGAGCTCAAAGAAGACAACAGCACTATATTCAATTTCCACATGCTTGAATGTTGGGCATCTTAAAGTAGAAGTCTCTGTGTCTTGTGCCAACACCCTCCTTACCTGTGCAGAGGGCATCCAGTTCACCTTCCACTTGACTATGTTCGGGGAGATTTCCTTTATAGCACAGCTCATGAAATATTGAAGAGGAGTGTGGTCTCCAGGGAAGAGGAATTACTTCAGTATGCAGCTTGCATCACATTAGCAGACGTGTGATTTATACTGCTCCTCTAATCAGGATGATATAACATAATTGCTTTGTCAGGGCTCCGTGTTTGCTTCCCAATAGATAATTCAGGCTAATTTTTATCCTGTTAATTTGCTCCTATCTGGTGTGATTGCTTTCCAAGTCCAAGGAGGGGTTTCAGTGCAGACTGTTAATGTGAGTAATGCAAATCAGATTGCCATTGGCTTGAAGGGTGCCGTAGAGTTAGTAAAACTGTCATACCTCTTCAGTTGAAGTTAGATTGCTTTCATGTGGTTCTTTTGAAAGAAAAAAAAGCACAACACTTGGAAATACACAAGCATCAAATGTAAGATGACACAAGTGCTGCTCTGACACTTTCACTTACACATTTATTTACACATCACAAGGTTTTTTATTCATCTGACAAACTCACATCCTTCCCTTTATCCACTGTTTTCTGTCTGTGTGTCAGGTCTACGTGCTTCAGAGGAACCAGCCTATGACTTTGAACTTTGGTTTCACTTACTGTGTCATCCCTTTTCATTCATTATGTATTGTGTAATGTGTTGCGCCAGAAGCTTCTGTATTTTATGCTGCTTCAAGCTTGATGATACTGTGGGAAAACTGCAACTGCATGAATGTACAGTCGCAACATCAAAGTCTTTAGTTTGGTGTTTGGTTTACTTGTTCAAAATGGTTCAATACAGAGCCATCTAGTGGTGAAATACATTTTGGGATAACTGGACATCAAAGTATTACAAATTATTTCTGGTAAAATGATGACATTATTTTGTAATGACTTATGCAAATAATTTTAGGGAACAACTTTATGACAGCTTTTTTGGTGTTACTTTTAAACAGCCTTCCTTTATTTAATGTTACTGAAAGTTTATTTTTTTAATTAGATTTTTTAAATGATTGTGTCCTACCTTTCATTCATTTTCTTTTACTTTCCATAACTGCTTATCCTGTTATGGGTCATGGGGGGCTGGACCCAATCCCAGCGGACACTGGACAAGAGGAAGGGTACACTCTGGACAGGTCGCCAGACTATCACAGGGCTGACACATAGAGACAGACAACCATTCACACTCACATTTACACCTACGGCTAATTTAGAGTCACCAGTTAACCTGCATGTCTTTGGACTGTGGGAGGAAGCTGGAGTACCCGGAGAAAACCTGCGCTGACACAGAGAGAACATGGGGCGTCGGTGGCTCAGTGGTAGAGCAGGCGCCCCATGTACAAGGCTGTTGCTGCAGCGGCCCAGGTTCAAATCCAGCCCGTGGACCCTTGCTGCATGTCATTCCCCCCCTCACACCTACCTGTCCTGTCCAATAAAGGCAAAATGCCCTAAAAAATATCTTTAAAAAGACACGGGGAGAACGTGCAAATTCCGCACAGAAGGGCTCCCTCTATGCAGGCTGGAGCAACAGGGTTTTGTTCTACCCTGTTTAATCACATTTTAAAAGTCTAGTTTGTAGGATTTAGAGGCATCTACTGGCAGAAATGGTAGGTTATATAAAACTCATGACTATGTTTTCATTAGTTTATAATCATATGAAAATAAGAATTGTTGAATACACAGCAGGGGCTCTCCCACAGAATCTGCCATGTTGTTCTACAATGGCCCAGAATGGACAAACCAAACACTAATTGCCATTTGGATTTTTGTGTTAGCTATGCGCTTGGCACACGGGAGAAGTTTCAGTCCTGCAACCTCACCAGTAGATGCCACTTAGTCCTAAACACTGTACCTTTAACATTTGTGCTTGCTGCCTTTTAATTTGTTTGTCTAAGTCAAATTCACACTGGTGCTATTTGGTTCACTTTAAACAAACCCTTGTCTGCTTCCACGGATGGTTTGGTTCATTTGGTTCATTTGAACTCTGGTGCAGACCAAACGAGCGAACCCTGGTCTACTTGAAAACTGTGGGTCTTGGTTCACTTGCGAGTGAACCCTGGTGCAGTTCACTTACAGTGGGAAAACTGACTGCAAACTGACTATCCAGAGAACCAAAGAGAGGACGTTAACCAAAGAGAGGAAGTTAACCAAAGAGAGGAAGTGATGTAGAGCGCAGTGCATTTTGGTGTTCGGTGTTTTTGTGGTGACCAAGCCGGCTGAAGGGGATGAATTTCCGTTTTCGGTCCTGGCCAATCGATGAACCGGGTTTTCTTCATCCTCATGCTTTTTTTCTTCCTGGCCAATGGTCGTTTAGGGCAATACTGCCCCCAAATGAGCAGCTGTTGTAACTGCATGACGTTATCCAGGCGGTTTGGTCCACTTTAAAAAGTGCAGTGTGAAAGTGAACCGAATCAAATGAAGGTGTGAAATTTTTCTGCATTCCCTACTCAATCGAACCAAGTCCCCTGGACTATCCTGGTGTGAATGCACCCTAAATGTTTTACCAGTGGTTCCCAACTCATCCAACCCCGGGGTCCAGATTTCTCCTTGGTCACTAGTTCAAGGTCCACATAGTGTAATACATTAAGGGTTATACTTGCGTTTGGCCATATTGTTGAGCTAGTTTGCTGGGTCTGTCCAGTAGCTATCCATTAGTCACTCAATCTACAGCAAGAAATGGCACTTCAAAAATAAAAGCACCATGCTGGAAATGCTGTACAAAAAAATAAAGTGTCTTTTTACAAACTTGACACATTTGGGAGTCACTTGCAGTTCATTCAGAATTGACCTGTGACCCACTTTTGGATCTAGACCCACCAAGTTGTTTTATACAACTTGATGTAAAGCACTTTGAATTTAATTGTATCTGTGAAAAGTACTCTACAAATATAGATCATTACTATAGAATATATTAGGCCTACACATATGGGCTATTGGTGCTAAAGTTATACATGTTAATAAACGTCTACATTGAGAAAATATGGGCCTATATAAATATTACAGATGCTGCCAGTTTACTGGAAAGTCTGCCTTCCTCTTTGGGAAATTACAGAGCCACAGCCCTGCAATGTTTATGATTCATCCCTGTAGATCTACACATTGGTGTTACAACACTTTCAAAGGGAAGTGACAAAGTCCTCTCCTCTATTGGGCAAAATGTCAGAGATTACGGTTATTACTATAAATAGTCATACTCATAATGACTACATTAGACCCATGAACTACTTCTAAAGTATAAATAAAAGTGTATGTGTTTGTTGTTTGGGAATACCTACTTAAAAGGCAGAAAACTTTATCTCGACAAAGACCGTTTTAACAGCGTTTCCTCCTCAAAATGAAAATAGCAACCATGTGTTTGGTCACGTGACCACGCTACGTGCGCAGACGACGTGCGTGACGTCGCTTTGTAGGCTTCGCTAGTTTCCTCAACCAAACACTCAACTGATATTGTGTGATAAAACTGGAAGTCAGCCGGCGGACGAGGGGCTATTTGGCCAGAAAAAGCACCCAAACCCCGCAGCCCTCGGCGTCGCGAGCAAACCCAACCGCCTCCGTGCCGGAAGTTGTCTCAGCAGCAGCGAAGACGGCGAGAATCGTTGCTTTTAAAGCCACCAAAGGCTGGTTTTTATTTTGCTGTGGCTGTCGAAAGGCGGGGAATACAAAGCGACGTGTGGTCAAACCCATTACATTTTGGACTCATTGAGGCAAAAACGGGATTACTACAAATCCAGTTCGTGCTGCTGTGACTGGTCAGCGATAGTACATGGATTATCTGGTGAGTAAATGAATCAAAATGCTGTGGTGTGGCGTATTTCAGTCAAACACTGACACTACCGTTTGGTTTCTTGCCAGTTGAGCCCCCTAATCAGACAGTGGAGACTCCCAGGTGTGTGTCCCTCAACTATTACATGTACCTGTTACTGTTTTGTGCTGTCAGGTCTAGCCTGTAGCTTTTGCCTTTCAGTGTTGTGTGAATAATGTCTAACAGGTTGACCCAGACTCTCATCTGTTTACATGTGAAACACGTTAACTAGCTACACCCTTAAAGTCCTCTTAGCTGACTTGTTTGTGTCTGTAACACTCCGTCTGTGTCATGTGGCTGTTACTGTCCACACAACTCACTGTTACTGCTGAGGACAAAGCTGCATTGTGTGTTGGAGGCTAAAGTGAGACACAGTATTCACTGGTTTGAGATATTAGTACCCTGCATATTTCTGCAACCAAAATAATTATTGCAGTCCAAGCCACTGTGTCAGCTCCAGCCTGGCTGGGAGATTATGGTTTCAGGGTCTTTGCCCACATTGTTATGGGTGGGATGGGTGCAGCTGAAAAAGTGCAACAATAGAGAGGAAGCTGCAACTGAAGGCTTGCCCTGGGAATTTATAAAGCAGACAGTGTGCTGTCATCTCACAAGGGGGACAGTGTGAAATGCAGAGGAACTTGCCCACCCAGTGTTATCAGTTTGTTTATAGTGGGCCTCCCAAGATGTGAGACCTAAAAGGAACTTTGAACTTCTGCTTCATTGAAATCTTTCTCTCGAGTCAAGATTATAATGTCCTGTCTGGCAACTGGCACTGCAGTAGTTATAGTAAATGCAACCTGATTAATGTCCAGCTTGTCTGTGGCTTCTGGCCCTGGAGTTACAAATCTTGCCAGGAACAAAAGAAGACCAAAGTGGCTCATTCATAGTTTGAACTTCTGCTTCATTGATATTTTTCTTGAGTCAAGATTACAATGTCCTATCCGGCAACTGGCACCACAACAGTTATAGTTAATGCAAGCTGATTAATGTCCAGCTTGGTATGACTTCCGGCCTCCAAGTTACAAATCTTGCCAGGAATAAAAGGGGACCAAAGTGGCTCATCCAAAGTTTACACAAGTTATTCTGTAACTTCAGTGACATGTTAATGGAAAATTGTTGGTACCAAAGGTAAACACAGGAGGGACTGTTGTCAAAGGGAGCATACTCGTGACATCTAAGGATAGAAATTGATTTCACCCTCAGCTCTCCTCTTTCTCTCATGGCAAAGTGCAATAAGCCTCAACCACTAACGTTACCCAGGAAAAAAAATATGCAGCTTACTTGGTTGAGGATTAAAGATTTTCTGTGACAAACAATTTTTCCTGTGGAAAGCACAGCTGTAACTCTGTGGACTGTCGGAGCCAAGTGCTTGGCTGTCCTCTGAGGTCAGGCACTCGATAGGCGCAGGGCCTCCTCTCCTGCTGTGCAACACTGGAGACCTGGCACAAAACCGAAGCCAAAACTATGTCTTTCTCTTTCCTATAAATCAATAGAAACTTGTCACAAAATCCTCGATAGAAGTTGCTCATCTTATGTGCTGTTCATGCTGTCAGGTCAGGTTTTAGATTGGGTTAGAGCTAAAAGGGAATTTGGGATAAACAGGAATGGAAGTGCACAATTATTGCACATTTCTGGGTAATAACTGTGGTTCAAGCTATGACAGTAGAAGTGATCTGGCTTGTGGTGGATTCTGTTTCAACGGGGAGCTGGTGCATGCTGAAGGACTGTACTCCTGCATGGTCAGCGTAGTGTTAAAAAAGACCACACAAAACGGCAGCACTGACACAGGAATTTGGTGCTAGCTGTTGCCATGACACAGCCTTACCAAATTACAAGTGCACCGTGTGGCCGACTTTTGGACCCTAAGTTGCTGCAGACTTTACCAGACAGGACACACTGAATGTGTTGCAAGTGACATCAGAGAGAGCGCAATTATTGGCTTTATTGTTAATATCTAAAAAACATACCAGAACATTCTCCTCAGGTTTTACTGCAGACACTTGTTCTGTAAACAGGGGCTTTTTCACTGTTATGCTTGCATGGTCACATTTATACTACAGCTTTTATATTGCATTATTTGTACACAGTATTTGCTGGAGGCAAATTCACAGCCGTTAGGTCATTTCTTCAATCTTACACAACATTTGCCTTTTTTGAGGAGATTACGAGATACTTATTTCTGCTACACATGAGTGACTAAACCCCTGCGTGGACTGATATTCAGGTCATTTTTGTTGCTCTGCCCTAAAGAAAGCCAGATATGCAACAGCAAATTCTCTTATAATGTGAATCAATTTTGTCTGGTGTAGATCGACCAGCATGGGTTTTGTGGAATTAAGATTATGCCAAAGATTCAATGACAGCAAACACCAGGCACTGACCTCAGACCATATGGTAATGATGGGTGTGACAGATAAGTGAACAGGGCCTCTTCCGCTAGGCCGGCCCACACCTCTCCTCATCTGGCTCATGTTCAGAAAGAATAAACAGGAGGGGAATTTAGGTAAAAGGAGTAAAGAGGGGTCACTTAAAAACTTTAATGAGAAAGTTTTGTAACTAAGAATGGCTCTTTATTTATCTAACTATATCACTGCCTTTTGATTTCAATTCAGCAGTTGCATTGAGCATTTGGTTTTAATTGACTTCAATGCATTTTGTTGCTAAACGCTTGGCACATACATATTTAAATTGGAATGATGTCAAAAACAATAACTCATTTGATATTCATCTTTCATTCTCTAGACATGCAAATGAATGAATAACACAAGTGCCATGGGAAATGCAGGCTACTAGCAAAAGCTTTTTCCTTGTGATATATAACTTAGACACATTTTGCTGTGGCCACACCTAGCAATTGAATTATAATTGCAGCTCTCTTTGGAAAAAGTATACATGATGGGCACATTGCTAGCTGGTTAATAATTACATTTTTTGGTGGATAGGCGTGTGTACTCTTTGCCTATTTCTGAAAAACAAAACATTTTAGACAGCAGGTTATTCAGCTGTCACTACTATTAATAGTTTTGTCAGGCACAATGACGGTTCAAACACCTGTTTACAGCTAGTTTCACCCAAGCTAGCTGCCACCTGTTTGGTTTGACCCTCATTTCCTTTTTGTGTAGTTGCTGTTTGTAGCTTGAAACCACATTAAACCTTTATTTAATGTGACCTGATTTGGCTGATTGGATATCAAAGGGGTCATAGTTGGATTTTTATATTGTTAAACCCTTGTGATTAAAATTCAATGAGGTTACAAGGAAGTTGATAATACTTGTTTACATAGGTGTTGTGTAGTCACCTCCATCACGTGACAAACAAACAGCATTATCTTTAAGTTGCAGGCCCCCAGGAAGTCCACAGGCTGTGAGATCAGTTTTTGTAGTGACCAAACAGTGGTCCATCATGTGATGCAAGGTGGCCCGAAAAGAGTTTTTCCCATGGACTTGCACGGTGGAAGAGATGTCTGTAAATCAGTCGATACATTTTTTTGAGCATTACAACCCTGTCAGACTTTGATCCATTCGGTCTGATAACGTAATGTTTGCAAAGTCTATAAGAGTTCCATGATTGAATTCTTTTATCCCTGTGCTAAATTGGATGTGGCCGGTGAAAGTCTCCATTGCGCTTGCTCTATGGGCCAAACAGCGACAAAGCAATGCTCAGCAGTTCGATGTTTTTAGCTTCATGCCCCATAGAGCAACTTCCATAGGAATGAACGTGGCCCTGTCTTCAATGCTGTCTCCAGTTCTCTTTATGCATCCGTGATAAATTGTTACTTACCTATAAATTTAATTAGTATTTATATAAAAATATGTAAGTGTCTCTTTGCAAGCTCTTATTTGGGCAGAATTAATATATGTTGCCTGATTATGTGAGGTTTTCATGAGACCTCACGCACAATTCCAGTATTAAACAGTGTTGAAAGTTTTAGAACGTTAAAATTATAGTGTGTACTCTTCATCATTTTTTTCCAGTATAAATTTGTGCAGCATCAAGCCAAGCAGTAAGCTGCCTTAATCTGCAGTTAGGCAGTGAAGAATTCGCATTCCCAACATAAGTAAGCAAAAAATTATGAGTTTCATCAAAGAAGCATAACTTGAAATGTGAGATCTCCTCAGGCTGAAAGCATTTTAGTGCTTGATACCACTAGCTTACATGAGCTGTTGAAAGGATATTTGTGTTGTTCCACAGAATATTAGCAGCACAGTATGCTGCATTTAAAAAAAGAACATTGAATTTTTTGGCTGTATTTGATAGCAGGCAGTACTGAGGCAGTTTCCTGAAAGAGAAAGGGGCACGACATGCAATTAAGGTCCTTAACTGAAGCTGAACTGGGCACGCTGCAGTTATGTGGTATGCGCCTAAACCATTTGGTTTATCCAGTCGGCACTAAGATCACACCTCCATGAAAATAAATGATCTTAGAAGCCTGCATGTGTTTTTGTCTGACCAGCTGTATTTCAGAGCAGATCTCCTGTCCAAGGGCACACAGCAGGCTATAGCAGACTGACTTCTCACCACCATAGCACAGAGGAAAGAGAGCTGATGGGAGGCTCTTGGCAGCACATGAATACAGCCGGTTAGCCTATGGGATCCAAGTCTGGTGTTACTTTTCCACACAGTTTTGTCCCCTGTGTGACCGTGTTCCACACCTCGCTGGCGATGTTTCCGCCAAGCTTTTTCCCAGGGGCAAACAAAAACGACCTATTGTATGCAGATAAGAGCACTAACAGTCTCACAAAATATTTCAACAATGTATGTACTTTTATATGTGGATATTAGGCTAATCATTTACTTAATCCATCTGTGAGAGCAAGTTTATTCAGGGCTCAGTTTGAGTGGATGTGAATTGATATTTTACCTAAAGTTTGCTCAAGATGGCCAGTGTTCCTTAAACCAGGCCTGTTATTTAAAGTGCATAGCCTCCAGCTGTAATGTGAAATACCTCCCTGAGCTCAGCAGCATTCCTGAAA